GCGACAAAAACTGCGGGGAACTCTGCAAAAAACGCATCTTCGCACATGCAGCCCGTGCGTTGGCCAATTTTTACATATGCTGTGCACTTGATCACTGAGACGGAGCCATTCATTCACTGAGCGCCGATGTGCCACTTCGTCTGAGTTAATTTGTGACCAAGTCGAATCGCTCTTTGCACTTCCTCCTTATCCATGTTCAGAGAGGTGAAATGTGAAAGTTCGTTCTTATGGGTACCACTCACTAATATTCGATCCGCGCTGATGGTTCCCTGTATGTGAATTCTTGCACTGCCGCTCACCTTGATATCTTTTACGCCGCGAAATTTATGAATTAGTTTATTAAGCAGCTCGTTTTTTAATTAGCCCCTTTTGAATTTTTGTATATATGAGCATTTCAGGATGCCACAGTGGTTGCAAAGCACACCTCCACATTGGCCAATTTATGCCGAGAAGCATCGGAGCGTGCCTCGAATGTCAACCTCAAAAAGCAGTTCATCAACTGCGCCCGTGAAGTAGCATCCTCCACTGCTTCACTGATAACCGCTGTCAAACAGCTGGACAGTTCATTTACGTATGCATTTTTTTTGCCTCATTCCTTTAAACCTCGACCAGTTAATGTTATATCATCACAGTTCTTCAGTGCAGGTCATAACCGCCCTATCCTCCACTGTATCAGGCTTGCAGCATTCTCATAAATTCATGCAAAAGCCAGATCCGCTCATTTCAATGGCGACCTTTCCAACTTTTGTTTCCTTGAGTTTTTTTTTTTTCAGTAATCCGTGTTATCCCTCTTTTTTCCATTCTGGACAAATGTTCAGCCCAAATTTTGTTTTTGTCAGACACGAAAATAGGTTTGTCGGAAGTTATGCCACATTTTAAAGCGGCGCTGAATCAAGTATGCAAATTTTCCTCTTTATTTGTGTTGCTGTAGCTATGTGTCCCACCAACTTGTCATATGGAATTGATGTTTTATTCGCCAGCAGAAGTGTTTTAATAAACTCGAATTTTGAGAAAAGTGGGGCGGAATATGCATTTTGAAGTTTTTTAGTGAAAAAAATCAGCGTGAATGCACGGAAGCAGCACGATCGTTATACACAGCAGCTGAACAGCTGGAGACATTTGTCGATAATCCGCAGTTTGCAGCAGTACCAGCAAAAATATCTACATCCGGTGCAGCCGCTCAGCAACCAGTTCTTGTCTCCGGCAGAGAAATGCTGGATGCCAGTTGCGAGATGATCATGTAA